GAAACAAGCTAATGTTAGCGTAAATAAGCTAACGTTGGCCTAAAAATCTAACATTAGCCTAAAAAGATTACCAATAGGCTTAAAACTAACGTTAGCCCAAACAAGCTAAAGTTAGCCTTTGTGAAGGTTATGTGTGGAGCGTTGTTGCAACAGATGCTAGCTCTTGCAATTCACAAACAATAACAGTAAAATTTCAGGGCATCAACATGTTATGTTTATTGAAATACAGTGACCTGAAACTCACTCAGCCTGAACTCTGTCGAGTATCGGTTCTCGTGACATCTCTGCTCATTATACAAAAGATCTTTAATGAAGTGGGTTTGTTCTGTTTAGACAAAAGGTAGCACTGGGCACCTCTAGTTCACATCATTGCTTTGTTGCTTTCTTTGTACAGGTCCCTGTCTCTGTAATGTGTACTGTTGATATTGTACATGTTGATATCAGACTTGGGCATGTAGATTTCTTTTAATTAGCTGATATAAAGAAATATTAAACATCTGTTTTAAGGAGGGAAATTTAGAGAAAAATGCAGAAATCTCCTTTTCAAAAATCTTACACAGCATAAAGCAGGGAGCAGAGGCATCGTAAGATATTTATTTAACTCTATATCTCATATTGTCAGAGGTAAACAAACCGGGAAAGCTTCTTGAAGCTGCATCAAAACCAGGAGATCATGAACCAGTCTATTAAATGTGTGTTGAGGTGTTGGGTTCGTGGTTTTACCCAGGTCTGGTCTGGTCGACAGCCGCCACTGTGTTGTGTCTCAGTCCATATGTATGTTTAACAAAGCCATCATCTCTCTCCCATTCTTGTCTCACCCCTCACCCACCCTGTCCACCCTGACAGTACATGCCGCGGGGCGGTGCATGCGGGCGCGGAGCTTGGCGCCTCACCTCCTTGCCTCTCTTACAGGAGAGGCTCGTGGCTCCTCCCTTCCTCCCCGAGCTCAAACGCGCAGGAGGTCGGAGGTCTTTCGACTACGAAGCCGCTGCAGCAGCTGCGGCCGCTGCCAAAGTTTTAGCTGGGAAATCGGCGTCGTCGTGCCACACTGCCGCCGCCACCACAAGCTCTAGCGCTGAGAAGGGGCCGGTGGTGGCCCCTCCCTCTCACCGCACGGGATCCATGTTGATCAACGGTTGGCAAGAAGCAGCCATCGATCTAACCAAGTCGTCTGCAGAAATAAGCACCACTAGTGGCATCGGGACAGGCGATGCTGTGGTTGCACCGGGAATCAGCCACCACGGCGCTGGTGGCGGCAGCAGTCACAAGCTGCCGCCGCCGCCCCCCATCACAGCACCCTTACCGGGCTCTGTGGGCATCGACATGGCCGGGATACTGCAGGCCGGGCTCATCCATCCTGTAACAGGGCAAATAGTAAACGGGAGCCTGAGGGGAGATGACTCACTGAGGAGGAGGAGAGGGAGGAGGAGAAACGTGGAAGCTCTGTACTCTGAGTTCACCAAGAGCCGAGGACTGCACCTCCCTGAGACACAGGTGGGTAGAGGGAGGAGGGCCTTTTCGGTGGAAGGCCAGTTATAAATGTTGTATGTGAAAGAGAGAAACTGCATGTAGGGAGTTCTGGGGCGAGAAACTCCAGAGTTCAATAAAAAAAAAAGTTTGGATTCGAGAGGAAAATCCTTCCCTCCGCTCTGAACTTCAAAGCTTTAAACCACCTGCACCTGTCTGTGTGTGTGTGTTTGTGTCTGTGTGTGTTTCCCCCTGCAGGGCCGAGTGGAGGTGATCAGCCACTCCTCTGTCTCCTCCTCCACCTCCTCGCCGTCCCCCTCTCCGTCAGAGCGGCCCGCGGGTCCTCCCACGCCGTCCTCCTCTTCCACGCCCACCCCCACCCAGACGCCTCCTCAGCCGGAGATCGTGGCCATCGACAGAGAGGCGGCGAGCAAAGGCCTGATCGAGTGGCTGAGACAGAACCCGGGCTACAGCATGGACCTGCCCGCGTTCACTCATGTAAGTGTTTGAGCTGCTTTTCTGGATGAAGTTGCTGTTGCTTGTATTTTTGTGTTTAAATTGAAAAGATGCATTTTATTGACTCCTCTTCCTCCTCCTCCTCCTCCTCCTCTTCCTCCTCCTCCTCCTCCTCTTCTTCCTCCTCCTCCTCTTCCTCCTCCTCCTCCTCCTCTCTGCAGTCCGGAGCGGGTCTGTTACACGGTTTTGTGGAGCGACCCAAGCAGAGGAGGCATCGCTGCAAAGACCCGACTAAGCTGGACATCAACTCTTTGACGGGGGAGGAGAGGGTTCCTGTTGTGCACCGAGGCACCGGACGCAGGGTAGAAAACTCACACACACACACACACACACACACACACACACACACACACACCATCATCATCATCATCATCAGTTCATCTGCATTTTATAATCTTAACTTCCAGTGTGTCGCTGCTGTTCTCTGCGGTGCAGCTCGGTGGCGCTGTGGTTTCATCCACTACAAGCTGCTGTGAAGTCGAGAAAGAAGAAGGAAAAATCCTAAATATTGATGAACATCTTTGTCAGTAAATGTTTGTGCTGGTTCTTCTTCCTGCAGCTCGGTGGCGCCATGGCTCCAGCCATAAAGGAGCTCTCCCGGTGGCTGGACGCCAACTCAGAGTACTATGTAGCTCCAGACTGGGCTGACGTGGTCAAACACTCTGTGAGTATGATACACTTCAACAGCGTCCGTCAGAGTCATGTGACCTCCTGCAAGTGATGATTTTAGATAACTAATCCTACTCTTCTTCTTCTCTCCTCTGACCTGCAGGGTTTCCTCCCTGAGGGGAAGTTCTCTCGGATCCTGACAGAACCCGTCAACAGAGACCCGGGCTCTCGGCGCCGTGGACGTCGGCCTCGCAGTGAGATGCCTAAGCCCCTCCTGTCCGTTTCTGACTCCGCCTCGTCTGGCCTCGGCCCCCCCCTCTTCATGAACGGCGGTTTAATCGGCAGCATGGACTCCATGGTGGCCATGCAGAACCTCCGTGGCGGCATTCCCGGAATTCCCATCTCCGGGATCATGGCAGCTGGATTCCCACACGGTTTCCCTGCAGCAGTGCAAGCGGGAGGAGCCGGGGCGTCGGCGGAAGACGCCAAGAACGGGTTGAGTATGTTACCCATGATGCTGCACGGCATCCCTCACCCGCATGGAGCTGCGATCCCGCAGCACGCCTTGTTCAGCGTCGGTGCGATGATGGCGCACACCCAGCCGCCGCCTCCTCCTCACCCCAGCTCCACCTCGTCGACCTCTTCTTCTTCTTCACTGTCCGCTCCGAAGGTCACCACGACGACCGCCCCCTCCACGTCTGAGGCTGTGAGCCCCTCGTCGACGACGCCTGCTGAGAAAGAGAGCGCTTCTGCTGCCGGTGGCGAGAAGGAGAGGAGCCGGGAGGAGAAAGGAGCAGCGGAGTCCAACAAAAGGCCCGGAGGGGTGGAGGCGGCGGCCATCATCACCTCCACCAGCAGGGCCCACCTCAGCTCGGCGCACCTCGGAGCCAGCGCCGGCAGCCATCTTACCTTCAACCCCTTCCTGATCCCGGGCATGTCCCACGGCCTGCTGTACCCGCACATGTTCTTGCCGCACGGTGGCATCATGGCGCTGCCCGCCATGCCTCCTGGTGCCATAGACGGTTCCCCAGGAAGCCCAAAGAGGAGGAGGAAGAGAGGGAGGGAGGAAGGGGAGAGAGAGGAGGAGAGGGAGAAGGTGGCGATGGGGGAGTTAGAGGAGAGAGAAAGTACAGTTAAGGCTAGTGTTTCCTCCCACCTGGCCTCCTCCTTATCTCCCTCCATCCCGTCTACCTCGGCCCCAGACCCAGCCCCGCCTCCGACCGAAGAGCCCCAGACCGGGCAGGGAGACGGAGAGGACGGGCCCTCGGAGCCCCAGGAACCAGACTCCCATAACCATCCTGAGGGAGCGGCGACAGAGGAGAGCGAGGACAGACTGGAGGAGACAGGAGGAGAGGCGGCGGCGGAGCAGGAGGAGAAGCAGGAAACTGAGGAGCAGAGACAGGTGGAGGGAGAGGAGGAGACAGCGTAGAGGAGGAGACAGACTGCAGAGGACGGAGAGACAAACCACTTCCCTCTCTCTCCTCCGTCTCCTCTGTTGCTCTTTTTCTCGACTGAGCAACAGTGTAAAGTTTGTGCCGTGTCTGTCAGTCAATGTCCATGTAAAGACTTTTATTATGATGATGACTTATAATAACAATGATGATTATATTCAACTTGGTCATGTTTATATACCAAGACCCCCTCCCCCCCCAACCCCCCACCCCACCCCCACGTCCACTTCTCCACAACTCCCGGTCCTTGTATACAAACAAACTAGTGTAAGAGATGATCTTCTGTGTATTCTTCCCCTTCATTCTGCATCGAGACTGAGTCGGGAGGGACACTTCTCAACACACACACACATGCACACACACACACACACACACACACACACACACACACACACACACACTGCAGGCAAGATGTGCTAACCAAGAAGCGGCTTTGGCGATAGTATTGATCCGGTTATGAGCTCCAAATGATCCGGGATGATGGTCAGTTTGGATTCGGTTCGGTGTGTAACGTCGCTCTGAATTTCTCACCTCGTTTCTCTTTTTTTTTGTTTTTTTTTTCTGGAGTTCAGTTGTTGTTTATGTTCAAGGTCAAAAGAAAATAAGCGCTGTCTTGTTATTTTGACTTGTGGATGATATTTTTGTGCAATGTTCAAAAAACCCTGCGGCCCAGATTAACCTGGGAGAGTCTGAACCGGCGCTCTCAGACACACGTGACACTAAAACACCTGCTCCTGGTCGATACTGAGGGAAAACACTGATTAACATTAACCTGAGATTACACAAGCTGCTCTACTAAGAAATCAGACAGCGGCCCAGATGTGTGGCCATTTTGAAAATCTCTAAATTAAATTGATGCGACTCCGAGAATAAAAGTGTCGATTTAAGAAAGCTGCCGAATTAGAAAAAAAGGAATTTGTTTTGATAGTTTTTTACCTGTTAAAATCAAGAAGATTGTGGCTTTTATTGACAAAAAGGTAAAAAAAAAAAGAAAAGAAAAGTCACAAAAAAGTGTTAGTAAGTTGTAAGTTCCTGGCATGGATGTTGTATCTTAATTCAAAGTCATTTTGGCTATAATTTAGGTGTTATCAATGCTATGCCATTGCTGCTATAACGTCTTTTCAAGAAGTTCAAAGAAAAATCTTCACACTAGAAGAATTCAGATTCCAAGAAAATGAAATGTTGAGTAAAAGAGATTCAGAGGAAGAAGAACTCCAACTTTTTCATCGATTAATTTCATGAGATTAATTTCTTTCTGTTTTACCGTTCAGATCATGTTGAGATTTAAAAAAAAAAAAAAAAAAAATCAGACACAAAGTCACTTTGAGAGAAAGTCCCTCTAATCAGAAGAGATGGAAGAGCCGAGTGACGCCACCAGGGGGCGGTAGGAGGCAGAGTTGGTTGTATCCTGTCCTGCGAACACACGGGGTGGAAGGCTGGTGGGAGAAAAGAGGAGAAGGAAGATGTGTGTGTTTTTCCTTTAAAATCATGCCCTGAGGTTGTTGTTTTTTTTTATCAGGCTCCCAAATGACATTAACTTCCAGAAAATCACTTTACCAGTGGCCCCATCAGTAAGACGCTGCGGAACGGTTGCAATCATGACCTGGTAGCATCATGTCTTTTTTCATTTTTCTGGCCGCACTGTCTTTTTCTTGTCAGTGTGAGATTGTGTGTTCAGAGAAATATTACCTGCGCGTTGTCGACCATCTGTCCAGCGAAAGGGAAATAAAAAAATAAAAAAAAAAGTCTGTTTTTATTTAGGACTGAAGAACAGATGACACAGGAAGAGGAGGGATACAAAGCGGTGTGAATCACTCGGGCTGAGTGCCTCGTCGTTGCTCTTTTGTCTTGTTTCTTTTTCCTCAGATTAGTTTTAATAGCAGTTCATACTAAGAGTTTCTAAATATGTAAATCTATCGCTGTATATTGCTGTTTTTTTTTTTGTTTGTTTGTTTTTTTGTTTGTTTTTTTTTTTAAAGTGCACCATTTATTTCTTTTTCGCCTTTTGTTTGTTTCTCCAATGGGAAAAAAAAAAAATACTTGACATATGCGAGGGGGTTTTTGCATTGAGGTTAGTCCCAGTGTTTTCTGTATCAAACAGACTGTACTGTACATTAAATGGATGCAAGTCGCTGGTTTTATTCAGTCTTTTCACAACAGGGTTCTGTATTTTTGGGGGAAATATGTCAAAATGTTTCTGTTCATGATGTTGGTCTTCACTTCTTTTTTGTTTTCAGACATGAAAACATTATTTTTGCACAATGTCTTTTTTTGTGAATGTTAACCTGTCTTTGCTTTCTTTTATGTGTGTGTGGGTGTGTGTGGGAGTGTGTGTGTGTGTGTGTGATAATGGGAGAGAGTGTGTGTGTGTTTGTGTGCATGCATGCGCACACCTGTTTTGTTGTGCTGGAGCTGTGTTTCTATCTCGGTCTCATTCTTACAGGTCACATTTTCTTGTTGGGAAAAAAAAAACATAGTTGTTGCCTTGTCACAAGTTTGTGGCTACATATAATTTATTATACTTTTCTTTTGCTTTGCCAAACTTTCACCAAATATGACATTCTTTCTCTCTCTTTAGTTTCATTATGTATTATTCAAAGTAAAATGCCTTATTTAGCTAGTATTTTTTTGTAAAGATGTTCTGTTACATCTCCATATAGGGACATGTTATGGTGTTTGTGTTCAGTTTGTCCTTCTCTTGTACGCGTACACGGCCTTGGTGATGTGCATTATCTTCAAAAAAGCCAACAGTAATGCAAATGTACCACTGTCCAAATCACTGCGTTGATTCCCCAAAGTCAATCAGTCGTCCCCTCAAAGCACAAACAGAGAGTTCACAAAAAGTGACTGTTTTCTTACCAGTGCCTCGAAAAATTACTTTAAATACTTTCTCTTTTTGTTGGGCTTCACTATGTAGACATCACGTCCTCTGTAGTGATGTCACCGGGAAAAAAGTGATAAACATTTGAAAATGTAGTGTCTTTGTTGGATGTCACCATTTGCAGATGATGCCGTGCTGTTCGTTAAAGGGAAATTTTAATTAGCTCACCAGCTCCACTGCAAGATATCAATCAGAGCGAAGGGTGAGAGTCTCCTCCAGCTTTTTATTGAATACACAAAGTAGTCTGCTGTACATCCCTGTAACTGTTGTAGTGAATTACACAGAAGCAGACAGTGTCGCTGTAACGGGTAGTGATACAGTTTTGCGTCTCTGGCAGCACCAGTTGAGTTGTGTTGGGTTGTGTTGGGTCTGGTGTGAAAGAAGAAGTTCTCAGTGGGGCTCAGGTTTAGGCCTGTGCAGATCTCTAAGATATTTCCCACGAATTGCAATATCGAATTGTTTTTGTTGTGTGACCCTCGTTTCACTGCTTTGTTTACTGTACATTGTACCTTGGTATGTAAAAAAAAAAAAAAAAAAAAAGAAATTGTTAAAAATAAAACTCCTGTTTAGTGTGGCAGCATCGCTCATACCTGAAACTTGAAATACAATAATACAATAATTCGATAATATTGAATATTGCAACGTTTTTCATAACATGAAACATGTTTTTTGTTTTTTTCCCCCATTTCACAGTTTTGCTTTTGCTTACTTTACATCTTATCTCAACATTTGACCAATAAAACTCTCAAATACTGTTTAGTGAAAAATACAATAATAAGATAATATCGTATATTGCGATTGTTGAGCTGGATTGTATCGCCATATTAAATTTTGGATATCGGCCAAGTCTAATGAGAAGATAACTTCTGACTTGCAAGTTTAGAAATGATAAAGTACACACAGTGCAGATTTCATTGACCGTAACTACACAATACATTGTGATGAATGTGCAGTTTACTACAGCAGTTACAGGGATATGGAGGGAACTGTCTTCTGGTTGGACTCAGACAGTGTTTGACATCATTTCTGTTGAGATAAATTTGGAGGTTCATGCTATTTACCCTCCTCAGTGACTTTCTCACCAGTGTTTGCTTTCTCAAATCTCCTACTGCAGAGTTGGCGAGTAAAACGTTACTGGATGCAGGTTGAGAAACACCAGAATTTCCCTTTAATGACGGCTGTTTAATCCTTTACCATTACGTTTGGTATTTAGCACATCTACAGTAGGATGGTAACGCACACGCAACATGTATCCAACTAAAGTATTTGATTGTTCTTGTGTGTTTGTTGAGATTCCTGAAGTACAAAAAAAAAAAGCGTCAGTAAATCAGAAGGGGGGGGGCGGGGGGCGGCCAGGTGTTACGTACCACAGCTAAATTACCTGAAAAAAACAAAAACAAAAAAAAACAAACATGTAACACTCCAGCCCACGTACGCACATCATTTCCTGTTACTGGCGTGTTCTTGTGTAAAAACTTGAAACAAACCCTGTAGGTGCAGCATGTGACAGCAGCTGGAGGGGGGGGGTCGTGGCGACGGCTGTGTATTGTCTGTTCATGTCACACCATGCCTTCTTTAAACAGTGTTCTCTCTTTTCATTTAAGTCCTTTCTTTTTTTTTTTTTTTTTTCTTTTGGTCACCTCAACATGTTGTAAACGTTTATCTCATCATAAATAATGTATTTATTGTGCAGCTCTTGTCTCTGCATCGTTGTCTCATGACTGATTAATGGTT